GAACTCGAATAGCTCAGTAGTAACTTCTGTGACTGCAGCACAAGGTGCCCCGGATTCGAATCTCAGAAGACAAATGAGTTGCTTGAAGATCAGAGAGCAAAAAACTTAGGTCTAGGACTACCTGCCGATTAAGTAATACAGTATGTCGGTGATTCAGTGCTAGAATGCTCATCAGACACATATCTGGTCCTCCCGACGCACTTCTAAGCCCCATTTAATCTGTAGTAAGTCTGGTAAAGAGGGAAGGTTAGGCGTAGGGATAACAAACTCACCCCTAAAAAAAAACTGCTGAAACTTCAGAGCTCAAGCCTGAAGCCTTGTGTTCCACTCAGAACTCAAAGGAATGAAAAATATTTAGATGTATTATTTATTTGAAAGTGCGTCGGTGGCACAGCGGTTAGGATGCTCGCCGACCATGCACATGGTCCGGGATTTGGATCCCCGGCCGACGCACTCCTTTACCTCGCTAAGCCAGTAGTGAGACTAGTAAAGAGGAAAGGTTGGGCATGAGGCTAGCAACTTCATCCTGTAAAAATTAACACTGCTACAGAAACTTCAAGCCACTAGCTTGGAGCCCTATGTTCCACTGGGAACGTGAAGGAAAAAAATAGAAATATTATTTATTTACGCGTTTTATTTTCGCTAATACACAGTCAGTGCGCTGACTAGAGTTTCCAGATGTTTATTTTTCAGAGTAACGGAAATATAATTCAATAATTATTAATGTTTAACTGAAGTACTGAAAGTTGGCGGTTTATTTCGTCTATCTTAATTAGTTAGAAAGCAATTTTTCTTCACAGTAGGTTGCGTAGTTCCAATACTTCATTATCGAAAAAATATACCAAAACGTTTTCTACCGTTTATAATAATAATAATAAGTTACCAGACACAGCGATTTAAGTCCATACGGAGTTGTCTTATTATTAACTAAAGAATTCACAGTTAAATTATTTGTTGACAGAATTGTTTATTGAAGCGAAATGATGTACAGTAATGAAAAAACATAACAACCTTAAAATCAAGACCATGATAATGAAATAGATCGCTTTCGAGAGCACCTCCCAGCTTGGTTGAGCGTAAAAGCATGAATCGCAACACATAGTTAAATACTAACCATGCAGCATCTGATACATTGTTTATAACAATAGTCTACAAAGTTTGCCGAAAGGGACACGAGTGCATTTGCTTTGTATAACAGAGGCTTTGGCAATACATAATATAAAGCCGGAACTTTGTGTACAATAACAATTTGTACGGTCTCTTTCCTGACTATGATCTTGATTTCAATGTGTAATTTACATGGAAACCTTGTTATCCTTCGTTATTCCATGTTTCATTTTATTTCACTTAATGGTATTATATTCTGACATTTTATTTAGTCTACCATTTTGACAAAATTTTATTGATCTTATGTCTCCATCATATTATATTCACATATCCGAATGTACTTTATTGTCCTAACATCTATTTCACTCATGTCTAATGACCTTTGTTTATTTATTAATCCATATATCTAAACAATTTGTGACTTATAATCATATAATTCAATATTAACACACACACAAGAAAAACGATTTTTATTGTCTGTTGCAATATATACACGTTTGTACAGCACTCAGCATGAAAAACAAGATGTGGATTTTCAACTCCAATGTGAAGTCAGTGATACTATACGGATCAGAGACTTGGTGTGTCACGAAGGGTACTTCAAACAAACTACATACCTTCATCAACAACTGTCTTCTCTCAATACTCAAGATCAGATGGCCAGAAAAGATCACCAACAGGAATCTCTGTGAGCGAACCAACCAGGAACCGATTGTGCAACAAATCTGCAGGAAGAAATGGAGGTGGATTGGCCATACTCTGAGAAAACCATCAAGTAACATCACATGCCAGGCCATTGCTCGAATGGAACCCGAATGGGAAGCGGCGAGTTGGTCGTCATTTCGAGGGTGACATGGAGGAGGTAATGCAAAGAGGAGATGAAAGCATGTGGGCAGACGTGGAGCCATGTGAAAACGTTGGCAGAGAGCCGAACGCACTGGAGACGTGCGTCTGAAGCCCTATGAACTAAAGGAAACAATAATATAATAACAGCTATGAAAATGAAATGAAGCCGTGAACAATGCGATCCACCCGGTCGGGAGCAAGGAAAAATACTCGCCGATGGCTTTGACTGGTGGTCGTGCCAAAATCAGCAATTGGTATAAGTTAGAATCTATGGGCCATTGAGTCAGGTCCGAGTGACTGAATGATCTGCGAGATGGCCTTGTAACCTGAAAGTCCTGGGTTCGAAACCTGGTGGGTGCATACTATCGATGAGTCCCAAACTGGGACGAAACAACTGTCCAATACTCCCAGCAGGTTTTCATTGATCCATGGTCAAACATGTAACCATTCAAATCCTTGTAAACAAACTCTTGAAGATGAAATCGTCCAAAATGAGAACTTTCTTCTCTGAAATAACAATTGTCAGCATTTCATGAAATATTTGTTCGATACATGTCGAATTATCTTTTTTTTAATTACTTTTGACATTTGTATTCATAGTTTTTTCTTTATTTCTTTGTGTACTGAACTAATGACCTAATGACATTCTTTAAATTATAACTGAAACATTTTAATGTCTGCTGATGAAAATTAATCTAAAAATTCATCGATAAATTTTACACTAAGAGTCACTTAAAAAGCTTGAAGAAACTGTGATGGAGTTATGCTGATATTTATACGAAGATAGAATAAAAAAAGTTGATATCATAACCATAAATGGAGAAAATTTCAACAATAAGCATATACATCGGGCTGGTGGGAAAATATCTGTAGCTCGGTCGGTAGCTTTCTGAACAGTGTTCTAAATTAGTGTCTAGTATTAACGATGACACTCAAAGAAGCTCAATCAGCCGAGATTTTCTCACCATTATCATGATGAATAAAAGCTTTAGAGTAATCACTAAGCAACAGAATGTATTTAAAAAGTGATTACGTTTGCTGAAGTTTGTATCAATATGTTGAAGAAGCTGGAACTATAGGTACAGAAGGAGACAATAGTCAATCGAATTCTGTCACAGTAGCATATTCGACACCTTCATAATTTTCATTCTGTTTGCATTATTTATTACTCTTTTATTATTATTTGGGTGGTTTGGTCCATGTGTACATCTTCATTACTCTCTATAAATTATTATTCGCATGGGTTCTTAGTGGAACGGAGAGTTTCAGGAGCACATCTTCATTTCACTACGTTCTCCGGAGTCCTCTTTAGCTGACTCCATGGTTGTCCACACGATTGTATCATGTTATCCTTGGACGTCCAACTCGTCATGTTTCATTCTGCTTCTAGTCGAAGGCCTGGCACGTGATGTTATCACTCAACAGCTTTCTCAGTGTGCGTCCGATCCACTCTTATTTCCCTATACATATTTGTTAGGCTGTCATTACCATGGGGAGAGACTGGTTCACAGTACATAAGAGACTTCGACGCTTTTTGTGAAATCATGATAACCACCGCTTAGTCCGTTCGTGGTTCTCATCTGGGTAACCGAAGTAGATTACTGCCTCTCTGGTTAACAAGTTGGAGTCAATTTCCACTCGATCCTCCCCAGAGATTCCAAGATCTTCTATACTATACCTACTCACTTCCTTGGCAATCTTAGCAACCTACGTAGCTGGAAACAACAGACAAAGACTTCATGGAATGACGTCAAGTCTCGACTTGGCCACCTGTAACTCTTTTCTGAAAGGCACGCCAAACCTTGGCTACTCAAACACACTACTGCTCTTTGCAACAAAAAGATAAGAAAAAAAGCAATTTCCAACTTGTAACGCTAATAAATAACAGAATATTCGACTAAAATACTCTTGAAGTTCATAGACCCAGAGAGCATTCTTTTTAAACTCTTTTACAGACTATACATTCCGTTTGCATTTCTGACGAATACAATCTTCGTTAATTTTGGTGTAGGAACAAGCATAATTAATCATAGGACTTTCGAGTAGGCTTAGTTACTCTGTAGAACTGATTTAACATAAATTAGATGTTGACGAATCCACTACAAACACCTTACAAATAAACGTTGAACCAGGCAAGCATACTTAGACTACATGCTTTCGCTTGAATTCAGTTGTCAGATTTTCAAAAATACATTTCTGATTTGATTGTTGGTTTGAGCCGCGTTGGGAGGAGAAGACTAGCTGGTAGGAGTCCTCGAAACGCTAAGTTGCTACGTTATAATTTCCACTTGTATGTGACAAAAACGGACTTTGTGAAGAAGCTGGAAATCCAGTCAGTGCTTCCTTGTACAATCAACTAATTTATACCTTAAAACAACAGAGTTACTTGAGCTTTATTATCTCTAAAAAGGCGCGAATCTCTTCTAGGACCAAGAAACCACTAAGAATCTGTTGCCAAACAAATATGCCAAAAAAAACGGAGATGTGCTCAAGAGACCTAAAAGTGAAGCCACAGTGGGAAGCCACTGATTGGTCTTCTAAAGATGAAATGGAGGAGGGATTGAAAAATTGTGGGCAGTCGTGTAGACATGTGAAAGTGATGAAATAGAATCAGGTGCAAAGAAGATGTGTTGCCCTATATTCTACCCTAAATGCAAGGAATAAACAATAATTGAAATTTCCTCTGAACGGTAAGGGAATTATCAAGTCTGACACCCAGAGTACATATTACATATAATTCGTCACAATTACTTAAACGATGTGTCTAAGAAACAGCCATTTATTGTTAAGCTCAAATACCCCGAATAAATTTATCATGCACCGGGCTAAGATTTACACTTGTCGCGTAAGAGCTGATGATACTATCCAGTTTCCCAAGCTGAAGTAGGTGGAGTGGGACTCGTGACATTCTGGCTGAAAACCGAGTGCTTAAGTCAATTAGCCATATCCTTACTAGACTTCAGTTAACCATATACTGAGTACATCAATAAAAAAACCAACTATGTACTTTTCCCTGTTATACTTACACGAAATGATAAAACACACAGGAAGGATTTAATCTCTAATTTATTTTATTTGACTGAAAATATATAAATTGAGTACTATAAAAATTCTTTTATTCGCCAAATAATGAATACTACTAAAGTTTACAAAATTATAGAAATGGATACGTGCGCATAGTGAGGTTGAATGAATACAATACAAATTTAGGAATGATACATTGAAATTTTTTTAAATGGACTACAGATGTGTGTAGAAAACTGTGGTACAAATAACAAATTTGGCGCGTATTCATGTAAGTGTATATAGATTCAGAGAAGAAATTCAAAGAAGTATTTATGGTGACTTCATTGAAATTCCATTCTTCGAAACCCTAATTTTAAACGTTACAGAGCATTTGGCACGGAAGGTAAAGAGAATTTCTGTTGACCCTTTTCGTTGATCACACAAATATGCTAGATTATATTAACAAAAACAAACAACAATAATTAGTTTTTGTGGTAGAAAAATAAATCAATTACTATGAAAAATCCCATATAATAGCTAGTGTTATATTAATATTATCGCTTAAAATGACAACAAGCACGCTAATCATTAGTAACTGTTCAACCAAAAACGAGTAGGTACATCTTACATTCTCTTCTGTACAGTAGCTGAAAACAAATCCACTCATCCAAGAGAGAGAGAGAGACAAAGATGGAGAAAGGAAACAGTTTCTCCAGAAAAACTGAAAATATCCTGCAACAAACAAGCGTTAGAATAATTTCCCTCGACCACTCTACAGATCATATCATATTTGTATTTACTGGATATATGCTTCAGTAGAATGCTCCCCAACCACTCACATAATTCGGGTTTGAGCCCTGAATGATGCATTTCTAAACGCCGTATGGCCTGTAGTAGGCCTGGTAAAGACAAAAGGTTGGGCGTGAGGCTAGTAGTCTCACCATCGTAAAAACACTAGTGTTAAGGAAACAAAGCTCAAGCTTGAAGCAATAAGTTCCGCTCGAAACTCAAAGGAGTGGAAAACAACAGTCTTCAGTTAAGCATCAATATAAATACAAACTTGTGAAGTAAACTGCTCATCTATGAGTATAAGTGACTACGATTTAGAGATTTAAAAAGTAATTTAAAACAGAGTCGATCGATGATAAAGAAAAAAATATGATGACTGGAACTGAGATTCACAATGAAGATTATTTACCAATGAAAGCACTATTAACTAATATCAATTTATCATAAAACTTTTACTAAGTGACCTTTGATTTTCAGTGTAAGTAAATGATGTCATCTAATGAAAAATTTACTTTGACGTCGATAAAATCTCTACAAACTCAACGATTGAAAAGTAGAGCAATGATGATAAAACGCATCCATACGAGTGTAAATGATCTGAAGACTCATCAGATGGTATTCTTAATAACTTAAATATACTGTACGAGTGACATCTAGAAAGTGCAGACATAGTCTACGTAAATACAGACTTGAAATATAGCAGTTTCTAGTTGTTTTTTTTTTATAGAACTATCATCCCATCTCACGTCGTTATTGACCCGTCCGAAACATATCAATATAGTCACGGTAAATTCATTACCATGTGTATGTTCATCAAGTACGCCATGTGCCAAACCCCATGCGTGAGAGACAATGTTAACATTTTACCACCCAAATCTTGGTAGACATAGCAATGTTGAAAAAATCTAGCAGCAGGCAATTAAATATGTAAGACCCAATCAGTTAAGGCTTCATTGTTTTACCTTTGAATTCTGATAAAAAATTTCCTAACAAAGATAAATTCATAAAGCTGAAGAATATCTCTCCAGAAATGGTTAAGCTTACCTGTATATCCCGGAAATGTTCATTATAGTCGAAAGCATAGCCAACAACAAATCGGTTGGGAACTTCAAATCCTGCAACTGAGAGTTGAGTGAAACAGAAAAGTGAAATAAGTGTGTAAAATTCCACATCGCCAGTTTAAAACAATAGCAAATTTACATACAATGGGGAATTAAAAACCGATGATGCAGCTCAAAACTGAGAGAGAATAAAGATTGCTTTGTCATTTATAAACAACTTGAGCAAAGGTTCAAATTCAAACATCTTCCATATATATATTATTGGGTTTTCAGAAATCCTAAACAATAAGTTTTACTAACTTAATGTCAGTGGAAATAAACTAATTGCCTAAAGTCAGTAGGAATTTCTCTTGCAAGATTTGGACAGATAGAAGTTTTATTTTTGTTCAATTATGACTACTTTCACTGCATAACAATTTAACCTGAGCAGTTGTACATCGAATTAAATGAATTAAAGAGGAAGGGTAATGAAATAATTATATGTATTTTTAAAAATCTGATATACAGTTACAATCGTAAACTTACAATCCGGTCGATAGGTGATACCATCTGGTTTACGCTTAACAAGCAGGCTAAAAAAATGAGGGAAGTAATACATCAGATTTTCTAAGAAATCAATAATAATGTGAACGAAAGCTTGTCTAATCTAGGTCACTTAGGACTTTCTGAGATAATCCAAATCCAATGAGTATGAGTGCATAATTGGCGCAGCATGAGACACTACGAAATGTACCACGCAAAACAACACAACAAAATCGTGAGGAAAATTAAATAGATAATTATTTAATGAACATTTTGGCGATCTTGTTAAATACACTCCTGTTTATTGTTAAATTATACTACTAGTAATGATACAATAAACAACAATATAACGGTATTTTTCGAGTGACTTCTATTCTAATTGGCACGGTCCCTCGAGCCTGAAATCGGAAAGCGACGATGCATTGATAACTTTTTGATTTTACGGTGTCACATTGTGGGACAATTGCATCTTTGCTCCTTTGAGTAATCTCAGGGTTCGCTATTCATAAACGGCAGAGTAGACGTTTGTAACATTAATGCAAATTGCTTAAGCTGTTGTTCTATATTAGCACCACAAGCTGAATTGTGGTTTTTCCGCAGTTTGAACACACACCATCAGACCCTAGATTTATCTATGGTACCACCACGTTATGTGAGGACATTTATGGGGATAGTGAAAAGAAAAAATACAACTTAGTTGCACATTCTGTACAGAAGCTAAATTCTACAGAATTAGGGATTGGATGTCGCTAGTCGCACTGACATCACGATTTCATAAGTGACTCAGGTTTACATATTCAGTTCTAGTTTACAATGAAGAGTGAACGTTTCCACCATACTTTTATGTGCTGTTTTATAACTTTCTAGATAAACTGTCGTTCTAACTACTTCTAACGGTTTACACATGAAGTGGACGACGGCGTAGACTCTTCCCACTTTATTCGTGCAGAGTACAGCATATTTACAAACAATAACTGATGACTGACTAAGTACCATTTTGGCAACCTATATGTAATGGTGCAACAGAAAGATAGTAACTACAACACCACCAACACCCATCTACTCCAGAGGTGTTTTCAGCGTTTCCATAATGGCGAAGTTAAAAAAAAGAAATATACACAGCACAAACATACTGCCCCTAGATGACTACATAGATATAAGCTAAAAATTAGAGAACTTAGAACATTGAGATAATCATTACCCTTCAATTAATTCGCAAACATCTTATAAAAAGATTTACGCAATAACTACCATAAATGGTTAGCATACTGCATCCGCAGAATTGTTTGAGAACTACTTATAAATCTAAGAATAAGGATATTTCAACGCCAGGTATTCCACTAGTGGACTTAACGGAAACACCGGTTTCAATTTACACCCACTGTCCACCCGTAAATTGCAATTGTGGCAGCTGGATATTTTGAATCTGCGGAACCTCCGTGGAGAAGCACTCTAATAACCATTCCAGGACTTTTAGTTGCAATACGAACGTGATAATTATATTCATTGATATGCTGAACCACTCGTCATACAGACATATCGCTGATAGAATTCGACAGAATAACGTGTATGGTGATACATATATAAAACTTTACTACATAAAAAAGTCACATACGTGGCAACTTTAACACTCCTCGTTGAAAAACTCTGTAAATGACTCATAAGTTTTCTCATTGTTCTACCGGTGTCGACAATGTCCTCAACAACAAGAATATCCTACAGAGGCAATTCGAGATGAATAAACAAATACCTTATCTTTATATTCTGAAGGATTTTCCAAACCCGTTATTACCGGTTCGTAGGTACTGGCATCATTCTAATATATTTCAAAGAATAAAAACTTTAATGAATTCTGAAAACGTACGACATAACTCTTAATTCGAATAAACTCAACAGTCATAGGCATGACAATGCCTCTTGCACGGACAGTTCTTTCCAGTCCATCAACAAGATCAGCAAGAAATTTAAATCCACCTTTAAGGACACACATAAGTGTAATCGATTTTGCTTTTGATGCTTCATAAAAATTCACAATGTCCATTGCCATTTTTTCCAGCCTTAAAAAGAATTAAACTTTCGACATTACATACCTGTCTTTAACCATACCATTCGGTATAAGGACATAATCCATGCATCCATCATAACGGGAAGAAATACAAAACTTGTCCACAGGATAACCTTTAAAGTCGTCACTTAGCTTGAGAAAATGATAACATAAAATCCGCTTACCGAGATGCAGTAATCTGACATTGTGTTGTGCTTTCAAAAAGTCACGAAATCAAGGTCTTTTATAGCAAATAACTTGGATAGTGCTAAAAAACAAAAGTCGAAATCCAATATCGTTTTTACGAGCTAGTATAAACCAGTTTGATTTCTTCGTGCTCCCCTCTTGATTGTGAGGTATAGTTTCCTGATCTTCGGTAAACTTTTGCGTAGCTGGTTGACTCCAAAAGGAGTAGTGCTGGGATTAATTATGTGGTGTGTTAAGACTGTTACTACTGTGAATGGAGTTGATTCTTTCACCAGTTAGTCCTCTGGTATCTTCTTCAAAAGAAAGGAGATAATAATAATAGACATAATTAGTGAAGTCATTCAGACTAACAGACAGAAAAAGAAATAAGAAAACGTAACAACAGTCAGCTAATTAAATTTGAAGAATAATATGAATAATATATATATATCGGTAATAATGATAATAATAAGTGTAGTTAAAGTTGTCAAGAGAGTAAGACGGGAGAGAATGTAAAAAAGTAAAACGACGAACTTAGTTGTCTACCCCTGAATGGTGTATGGGATTTTAAGGGGATAGGCCATTTGGACGCAGTCCTTGTGTCGCTGCATGATTGTCCAGCCTTCGCTTAAAGGCGTCCACAGACGGTGCCATAGCTACATCTGCTGGTAAGGAATTCCAGGGACGTCAAAACCGCAATGAAAAGAAGTGGGAGCGCACCTGACTCCTTGCCCTCTGGTGAGCTAACCTTCTTGGATTTTTTTAATAATAATAATGGCTTTATTCTAAACAGTATTTGTGGTACAGGTATGGAATTTTCAGCGTTCATTACAATATTGCATCTAATTACCTCATAAATTTTATAAGGATTTAAAAATATAAAGCAACAACAACAAAAAGAAAAAAGAGAAATAAAAGAAATAAAAAAGAACAGCATTGCATTCACATATTTAAACAATGCATCACAGGATATGATATATAAAATTAGTCTGTAATAGAATATATGAGCAACAATATAATAGTAACAAAGAAAGGAGGACAAAAGCTAATGGGAACTATTTGTTAGAGTGCCGCAGTAAGTTGATCGTGTCATGCCTAACAGTTTTCTCATCATGAGGAAGTGCATACCTACTCAATGACAGAACACCTTTGTTTGGGTGATTCTGGTCATTTGTTATTTTGTAGGCAGTAATTAAATCCCCTCCTAAGACGACGGTAACTAAGTGTGAATAGGCCTAATTTCTTCAGCCTTTCATCATATGGTTTATTTCGGAGACCAACCACTCCTTTTGTTGCCCGTCGTTGGACTCTTTCCAAGAGGTTGGCGTCTCTTCTAAGCAGTGGGGGTGCAATATTATTATGCACTTCAAGGTGTGGTCCGACGTATGTTTTGTACAACCTTATAAAGAGCTCAGGAGTGAGTGCACCTAACTGTCTATGTGTAAAGTGTATGACCACATATGCCCTCGCTACATCCCCCGTGTAATTTACGCTTGTGTCCAATTTTTCTGTTAGAACTAGACCTAAGTCGCGTTTCGACATTGTGCAGGACAAGCTTTCGTTGGACAGGGTGTAACTTGCATTCTGCAGTCTGCAGGTGCGTAAATTCATCACTTTGCACTTTTACAGGTTGAAAGTCATGCCACTGGCCATGTCGCCAGCTTATAGAAGATTCGGGCAGCTTAGACGGCATGGTAGATCATTGAAAAAATCAAAAACATCAGTGATCCTAGGATAGAACCCTGCGACACTTCTGATGACGAGCTGTGCCAAGATGATCGGACTCGATTGACCTTAGTGCAAAATTGCCTTTCAGCTAGGTAGTCCTTTAACCATGACAGAAGTGGCTTACCTATACCTGCCTGGCTTATTTTGTGTAGGTGAAGGTCATGGTGAACAGTGTCAAATGCCTTCTCAAAGTCTAGGAAGACCACATGGACTGGAACATTCATATCCCAGCATGATGTCCAGTCTTCCCAAGGTGATAATAAGTTAGTGACGCAGGATCTCCCTTTCCTGAAACCGTGTTGGGCTTCATGGAGTATTTTAGACCTATCGAGATATTCCCTGATGTGATCATCAATAATACTTTCCAGTACTTTTGATACCACTGGGAGTAGATCTACTGGTCTATAACTAGTGGCATTTTGCCTATCCCTTGAAGATCGGAGAAAGGATGGCTCTTTTCCACTCCCTTGGCAGTTTCCCCGAATCCATTGAGTGTTTGAACAAGTCGCATACAGGCCTACAAAGAGCTTCGATGCACTGTTTCAGAACAGATGGCCTGATGTCGTCAGAACCTGGGGACTTCCCAGATGTGAGTCACTGTAGCTTCCTTAGCACTACTGCCTGGTTTATTTGAGGAGTAGCCACTATGTCTTCCTCCTGTGAAATAGTAGTGCCACCATTTTGGTCCGTAACGGTAATGCCCACATTGCTGTTAGGCGAAGGCCAAACTGAATGTTTCAGCCATCTTCAGACTAGTGAGATATTGACCGTTTGGGCCTACTAAGGCGCATGCCCCTGGTTGGTTGGTTTTCTTTCCGACATGAATCGATACAAGGTTTTGGGGTTTACTAGGAGTTTCTGGCAAGGTTAGCCTGATTTGACATCCCGTCACTCCTGACTCTAGGGTTGCACCGGTTCCTGAGTCGTAGGTATGCATCGTGGTCGATCTGATTCTTAGATAGGCGCCACGTAAACCAAGCCTTCCGCTTTGCTTGCAGAACACGTTGCGTGACCCTCTTTAGCCACGATGACTTTCTTTTGGGCTGTGTTGTGCCAAAAGGGACGGTATCCGAGATTGCTGTATGAATAATCTTTTTTACCACCTCCCAGTGTTCATCCACAGATAGCTCATACCATGCTAAGGGCCAGTCTGCGCAGGACAAGAGCCTTCGCATTTCAGTATAGTCAGCCTTGCTACAACACAGACATGGTCGCGTAACGTCCCACTGCAAATGCTCAAGGAGAACGAGATCAAAACCTATGACTGCATGATCACCACTTCCTAGAGGAGTCATGATCTGGACCTTTTCGGCGAGTAGTTGGTCACTAGTTAGAATGTAGTCCAGTTTTGATGACCACTAGGGCCCCACTTAGTGTCATCTCCAACAATCTCAGTCAGTCCCGTATTTCGAAGTTTGCAGTAGATTTCTGCCGAATTTTCCTTTAGCATACCCCGAGCCAATGTTCAGTGATGGGGCATCGAAATCTCCAGCTATGGTGATTTGGTCATAGCCCAAGTCTCGTATCCCTGTGATAGTGCTGAGCATTAGCTGGTTGTGCTCTGTCCCACAGGTGGGTGGTCGGTAGATGCCACCCAGTAAATGCTTGGTGTGGCCTACGGTGAAATGACACCATATGGAGTCTGGGAGTTCAATAAGTGGTGGGGCCGTTGTGCACACACATTTAAGTTGCCTGTCAAAGTATATAGCAACTAACCCTCCTTCCTTATTATCCCTGTCTCTCCTGACCAGAACCATATCACCTATACTGATTTTGTTGTGGGCGATAGTGGGGGTTAGCCACGTTTCAGTGAGAATGATTATTTTAAGTTGTAGGTGAGCTTGGAGATTTCGGAGTTCGCCTACTTTTCCTCTCAGGCCCCCTCACATTGCTATATGGGCAGCTGACAGTGAGCCTCACAACCTCAGTGTGTTGTGGGGTAGTTGGCGTGAAGCTGTCTGCTGGTAGGGGACTTAATGTTGGGACTAGTTGACCGATTCCGATTGAACCGGTCCGTCCAAGTTTTTTTCCATGGATTTGGGTAGGACACTTGGGTAACACAGACTGTTATTCTCAGTACTGTATCACTCTAGTGTCACTGAAGCTTGGGAACGTATTAAAGCCTCAGTTTGCTGCCTCCTTATGGTTCGTGGCCTGCTTCCGCAGCGTTGGATGTGTCCTAAACATTCGCCCTTGGTCTCATACCACCGTTGAAGTGCTATGGCCAAGTGCTCTGGGGAGTTGAATGTGACACTTAGCAGCTTTGGAGAGCTAATCAGTGTGAGATGAGCGGGGCGAGATAGCCGGAAAATGAAGATTGCTCCAGAAGCGCCAAGGGCCATCTGAGATGACAGCCATCTCCATTGCTGTACGTCATGCACGTGTTTTTCACAAGTGGTGCCCGTTTCCAGCTCCGGAACACCGTGTACCACCATAGAGGTAGAAGGCATCAGTTCCGGTGACTCCTTCGCCATTTATCTATTAGCCCATGCTCTGTCTTGTCTCACCCTTATGCTCGAACTTCTGTCGATGGCTAGTACCTGAGCCATCAATAGTACTCTTTCCGCCTCTTCGGCAGAGTTCAGTGTAACCCTTAATGGGGTGGCTTACCCTGAGGCGTGTGGACACCCCTGTACAGCCTGCACAATTTCACTGAACTAATTTTCAGACCTAATTTATTGCACAAGTTGGACCACTGTTCTTGATCAAACAGGGCTAGTTGTTCAAGCAAGCTGTCCTTGCTCACAGGTGAGAGAATTAGATCAACTAACCTCAGACTTAGGTTTGGCCTTTGGCTGCTTGTACTCCTTTGCAGCGCCAGTAACTTTAGGCTTCATCAGGTTTTGACCAGCCTTTGCTGTGTTGCCAAGCTTGCTAGTAGATGCAAGTGGTGATTTTGCTATTCCATCTTTCTCTGATGTTGTGGGTGCAACCTTGGGACTCTTCAATTTACGAAGATTGGCATTCCCAGTCAGTTGGACTGGAGTGTCCTTCTAACTGTCTGTACCAAGTTTTGGTATGTGGTGTTAGCAGGTGGGGAACTGCATGAGACTGTGTTGGGACACAAGAGTGGCGTGTTGTTCCTGCTATCCGCAGACACTCTGTGCGGGACTGTGCCAGGGTGACAAAGTGGACAGATGTACCAAAACCATGGGCATGGGCTATTTCGCATAAACTCGTAGTATGATTTCGGCACCCCTTTGTCACAACGGCAGTATACCCATCGTTTGCAAAAATTGTATTCAAAAGCTGAGTCAGTTTTAGAAACGATGACACTGCACGCTTGACATTCGTCTCCCTTCCTTGATGACGCTTTCGAGGTCTTATGACGTCTTGAGCGTTTCCTTTTT